AATAAAGATGACAATACGCGAGAGAAAGGAGTAACTAAATCAAAATCGATAATAATGACTATGATAATGAAATGAAAATTCGAATATTGACTCACTAATATTGTTCATTTGTTTATATTCAATAATATAACAATTAATGTTCGTAGTATCGATGTTTCATATAATATCAATATAAAGACTTAATATTAATATTCAATAATTCAAAACTTAATATTAATAATTATGTTTGATAAAATGATAATCATAATTATCAATAAAAATGTTCTATATACTGCCGTTAACTGCTTACGCTCTCTACTACTTTTAATAACGCCCAAGAAATAATATCAACAAAAATAATAATAATGATAACATCGACGAGTGCCTAAATAGTGGCAAGCAGGTACTTCAACTATTAATAATGATAACGATGATGATGATAATAATAATAAGAAGAATGGTACTCTCCTGATAGATGTGGTTGCGGATGATGATGATGATGATGATGATGATGATGATGATGGCGATGCTGGAGATGATGTGATGATGATACTGGTAGCAATAATGATGATAACAAGAAGAAGAGTGCTTTCATGGTGATGATAACAATAGTGATAATGATGACGATGACAACAAAAATGATAACATTAATAAAAAGAATGATGCTTTGATGGTGATGGCGATGATGAGGGAGAGAGAGGAGAAATGAGAGAGAGAGAAGAGAGAGAGACGAGAGTGAGTGAGTGAGTGAGTGAGTGAGTGAGTGAGTGAGTGAGTTGTGAGTGAGTGAGTGTGTGAGTGTGATGTGTGTGTGTGTGTGTGTGTGTGTGTGAGAGAGATGAGAGAGAGAGAGAGAGAGAGAAGAGAGAGAGAAGAGAGAGAGAGATGAGAGAGAAGAGAGAGAAGAGAGAGAAGGAAGAAGAAGAGAAGAGAGAGAGAGTGAGACAGAAAAAGAGAGGAAGGAGAGTGACAAGCAGAGAGAAAAAAAAGAGAAGACATAAGACATAAGAAAGAGGTGAAGCGAGGAAAGAAGATCAAAGAAGAACGACCGATAAAAGAGACACAAACAGCCCCAACCCCCCCCCCCTCTGCTCAACCCATCTTCCCCCCCCCCCCCACCAAGGCCAAGGGCAAGAGCAACCCGCCGCCAACCCCCTTCCCCTCCCACTTATTCCCTTCTTTGCCCTCCCTAAATAAAGCATTCTACTGGTAACTGCTAAGTGTACGAAGGTGGCGTGCGGGCGTGGGCGGGCGCGGTGCTGCCGACACCTTGTAGCACTGTCAGGGGGGGGGGAGGGGGGAGGCAGCTCTGGGTCATACTGTTGGAGGCAGGGGTAGGTGGAAAGGTGGGAGGAAGGGGGAGTGGAAAGATGCAGAGAAAGGTGGGGAAGGAGGGAAGGGGAGAGGGGGATAGGGACAGGGATAGAGATAGAGGTAAATATAGGGATAGGGAATGAAAGATAGGGAGAAGGAATGGAGAGAAGCATAGGGACAGGGCTCGGGGTGGGTGTATATGAGGGGGCATGGGGAGGGGGGATGGGCGTGAGGGCGTGATGACCCTTTGTCCTTTCTTCAAAAAAACAAAAACAAAAAAATTAAGACATCGTGTTTACACAACTGTTTTGTATTTTTTTTTTTTTTTTTTTTTTTTTTTTTTAATCTTGACTGTTCTGTTTGTTTCTCTCTCTTTTAGCGGCTTCGACTTTCCCCCGCAACCGCCTCCATCGGCGCCAAGGATATTAATATCAACCCTTCGCTTCTCGTTCGCTCCATTTTGGCTTTCTCTCGCTGTCACCAATCCGCCTGATCATCACGCGCGCCGATTCATCAGCGAGTCTCTATCTTCTCCTCCTCATCCTCGCCCGAATCCCTGTCCCCGCCCCACCCCCCACCCCCCCCTCAGCGCTGCCACCACAAATCCCGCCTTTTCTCCATGAGCGAATCTCCCGCAAATTTTCGCGTTGCATGACTTCTGCAACGCCGGGCGGCCGCTTTCGCCCGTGCCAACAAAATGAAAATTTCGTACCTGTAGAATCAACACGCGTTGACACCCGGCCAACGTGCGCTATTCTCGGACCGCTGGAACACATACGCACGAAACGGCCTCAGTTCGCTTCAGTTCGCCGAGCTCCCCGGTTGGTGGTGTTGTTTTTGTGCTGTTGTTGGGACCTCTTTGTTGTTGTGGCTGGTTCTCTCTCTCTCTCTCCTCTCTCTCTCTCTCTCGTCTTCCATCCACTCCTCTGAGATCCCCGAACGTAAACAACGTTTATTTTCCTTCTTTCTCCCTTTCTTTTATTTTCTTAAAAAGGCGACACTCGTTCTCGTCGGACGAAAAAAAACAAAAACACACACACACAAAAGAAAGCAAGACAAGACGGAACCACAACAACACACTTCCCGTCCTTTAATCCGCCCGTTTTCCGCGCTCACGCCCACGCATGGCCGCCGCGTCGCCCCCGCCCGTCGGAACGAGACGAAACGACCCAAACGAACTGTCCAATCACCATCACGGGGGAAAAAA